GTTTCGGGGGCCACGGCGGCCACGGCGGCCGACACCTGCTCGGCCACGGCGGCCGCTGCGGCCGCTGCAGCCGCGGCCACGGCCGCCGCCGAGCCCTTGAAGGGGTTGTTGGCGCTGAACTCCCGCCACTTGGCCCCCAGGATGGTCATCATCTTGGACATGGGGATCTTGGGGTTCTTCTTGGCGATCAGGGGCCTGCGGAGACGGGGGGAGGGGGTGAGGAGGGGTGAGCAGGGGTGGGTCAGCAGGGACGGGAGAGTGACCCCTTGGGGAGGGGGTTTGGGGGTCACAGAGAGGACTGGGATGGTCCTGGGGTCACTCAGGATCCCTGGGGTCACTCAGGATCCCAGGACAGCCCTGCGGTCACTCAGGATCCCAGGATGGCCCTGGGGTCACTCAGGACCCCCTCAAACACCCAGAGGTACCTCCAGGACTCCCAGGACGCCCCCCAAAACACCCAGAGGGACCCCTGGGGTGCTCCCCAAACACCCAGAGGGACCCCCAGGACCCCCGGGATGCCCCCCAAAACACCCAGAGGGGCCCCCAGGATGCCCCCAAACACCCAGAGGGACCCCCAGCCCCACCTCATGAACTGGCTGAAGGCCTTGTAGTTGGTGAGGGTGTGATAATCCTCCTCGGTGAACACGTGGTCCACGTCCTCCAGCCCCCAGGCCCCCAGGAGCTGCGCCGAGGATTTCTGCTCCACCGCCTGCTCGGGGACACCGGGGGGACACCAGGGGGACATGGGGGACACCAGGGGGACGGACCAGGATGGGGACAAACACCAGGAAGAGGGACAGAGAGGAGGAGAAGGAAACACGTCACCTTTCGGGACCCCTGAGGGTCCCCACATGGGTGATGGGACCCCCGTGGAGCACCCAAGGGGTTTTGGGACCACCACAGGGACCCACAGAGTGACAGAACCCCCATGAGGACCCCACACAGTGACAGAACCCCCCAAAGGTGTTGGGACCCCCATGAATACCCCCCAAAGGTGTTGGGATCCCCAAGAGAACCCCACACAGATGTTGGGACCCCCATGAATACCTCACACAGGTGTTGGAACCCCCATGAATACCCCAAACAAGTGTTGGGACCCCCATGAGGACCCCACACAGTGACAGAACCCCCACAAACGTGTTGGGACCCCCATGAGAACGCCCCACAGGTATCAGGACCCCCATGAGAACCCCTCATGGGTGTTGGGACCCCCATGAATACCCCAAACAAGCGTTGAGACCCCCATGAGGACCCCACACAGATATTGGAACCCCCATGAATACCCCAAACAAGTGTTGGGACCCCCATGAGGATCCCCACACAGGTATCAGGACCCCCATGAGAACCCCTCACAGGTGTTGGGACCCCCATGAATACCCCCAACAAGCGTTGAGACCCCCCAGAGGACCCCACCCAAAAATACAAAGCCCCCAAACAAGTGTTGGGACCCCCATGAGGATCCCCACACAGTGACAGAACCCCTCAAAGGTGTTGGGACCCCCATGAGACCCCCCCGCCCAGCTGCTGGCCCCCTCCAGAGCCCCCATTTCCCCCCACAGGGCAGCACAGGGGGTGCCCCCTGTGCCCCCCCAGGCCGGGGTGCCCCCCGGGCCATACCTTGACCTTCTGCCCGCCCTCATCGTCGGCCTTTTTCCTCCTCTTGGTTTTCTTCTCCTTCTTCTCGCGGTGCTTCCGCCGCCGCTTGCGCGCCGCGCCGCCCGAGTCGCTGCCGCCGCTCTCCGACTTCTCCCGGTACTCCTCGCGGGGGTACTCGTCCCTCTCGGACTCCAGCTCATCCTCGCTCACCTGGGCACCCCAAAATCACCCCAAAAACCTGTCAGTGACCCTGAGACCCCGCTCTGGTCACCCTGAGAGCCCTGAGCCACACCAGGACCCCCTGAACCACTCCCGGTACTCCTCGCGGGGGTACTCGTCCCTCTCGGACTCCAGCTCATCCTCGCTCACCTGGGCACCCCAAAAACACCCCAAAATACCCCAAAACTGTCACTGACCCTCCCTTAGTCACACCAGGGCCCTTTTGGGCACCCTCAGAGCCCCATCTGTCATCCCAGAGACCCCCATCAGCCACCCCCAACCCATCAGCTGCCCCCAGACCCTGTCACCTGTCCCTGTCCCCACCTACTGTCCCCAGATCCTGTCCCCTGTCCCTGTCCCCATCCCCTGTCCCTGTCCCCACCCGCTGTCCCCAGACGTGTCCCCTGTCCCTGTCCCCAGACGTGTCCCCTGTCCCCGAGCCCAGCAGCACCCACCAGTTTTTTCCGTTTCCGGGGTTTCCCGGGTTTGTTTTCCTTCTGTTTCCGGGGGCCCCTTTTCTTCTTCTTCACCCCCAGGGCCCCCTCGAGGCCCCGCAGCAGATCCTCGTCACCATCTGTGGGACACGGTGACATCAGCCAGGGGGACGGGGACAGGATGGGACAGGGATGGGACAGGGCAGGGACAGGGATGGGGACAGGGCAGGGACAGGGACGGGGACAGGGATGGGGACAGGGCAGGGACAGGGATGGGGACAGGACGGGGACAGGATGGGGACAGGGATGGGACAGGGATGGGATGGGGACAGGGATGGGGACAGGGATGGGGACATGGATGGGACAGGGATGGAGACAGGGCAGGGACAGGAATGGGGACAGGGATGGGGACAGGATGGGACAGGACAGGGATGGGGACAGGGATGGGGACAGGGACAAGGGCAGGATGGGGATAGGATGGGGAGAGGGACAGGGGACAGCAGTGTCACCATGAGTGAGCAAACACCGGTGACACCGTGACAGTGACTGACTGATGGCAAAGGATTCCCCAACCTCTCCTTTGGGGACAGGAGTGTCACCATGAGTGACCAAACACCGGTGTCACCACGACAGTGACTGATGGGTGGCAGAGGATTCCCAAACGGCTCAGCCCAGGGGACAGCCGTGCCACTGTGACAGTGACCAAGCACCGGTGACACCGTGACAGTGACCAAGAGATGGCAGAGGATTCCCTGACCCTCACATGGGGACAGCAGTGACACCGTGACAGCAGAGGATTTCCCAGGCATTGGGCCCAGGGGACAGCAGTGTCACGGTGACAGTGATCAAACACCAGTGACACCGTGACAGTGACCAACGGATGGCAGAGGATTCCCTGACCCTCACGTGGGGACAGAGGTGACACCGTGACAGTGACCAAGAGTTGGCAGAGCACTCCCAGCTCTCACTCTGGGGACAGCAGTGACACTGTGACAGAGACCAAACACCAGTGACACCGTGACAGTGACCAAGAGATGGCAGAGGATTTCCCAGACACTGGGCCCAGGGGACAGCAGTGTCACTGTGACAGTGACCAAGCACTGGTGACACCATGACCAAACACCAGCAGGGCACTCCCCAGCCCTCGCTCTGGGGACAGCGGTGTCACTGTGACAGTGACCAAGCACTGGTGTCACCGTGACAGTGACCAAACATTGGTGACGCTGTGACAGTGACCAAACACCAGCAGAGTACTCCCCAGCCCTCGCTCTGGGGACAGCAGTGTCACTGTGACAGCAGAGGATTTCCCAGGCATTGGGCCCAGGGGACAGCAATGTCACTATGACAGTGACCAAACACCAGCAGAGCACTCCCCAGCTCTCGCTCTGGGGACAGCGGTGTCACCAGCCGCCAGCAGAGGATTCCCCAAGCCCTCACACGGGGACAGCGGTGTCACGGTGACGGTGACCAACGCCAGCAGAGGATTTCCCAAGCCCTTGGCCGAGGGCCACCGGCATCCCCGTGCGACAGGGGCCACCGCGCGTTCCCGCTGTCCCCGGGGCGGTGACACCGCATCCGTGTCACGGCCCCGGCTGTCCCCGCCGCTCTGGCAGCCGCCCGGGGTGACGCCGGCGACAGCGAGGTGTCACATCTGCCAGCCGCTGGCACGGCCCCCGCCCGGCGCGTGCCCGGCCCCGCGGGTCCCCCGCGCTGTCACCCGTAAATCACCCCGAGGGTGTCCCCAGGGGGACACACACACACACACGGGGGGGTGGCAGCGGGTGCCAAGCTTGGCGTGGCGACAGGAAGCAGCACCCGGCGCCGCCGGGGTCACATTCCAGCCTAATCCCTTGGCACCGCCGCCTGCCAGCCCCGGGCGGCCGGGCCGGGCGCCGGGACCACCGGCAGCGCCGCCCCCGCGGGGCCACAGCCCCAAAATCCGCTTTTTTCCGCCCGTTTTTTACCATGGCGGCAGCGCCGAGGCCCAGCCCGCCCTGTTCCCCCCCCCACACACACACTCCCCCCGCTCGCTTTCCAAATTCCCCTTTTCGCTGCTTTTTCAACCCAAACCATCACCTGGGGGTGCTGCCGGGGACGCGCGGCCGCTGGCGGGGATGGGGCCGAGCCCCTGCGGGCCCGATCCTGCCATTTTTGGGGTGTTTTCCCCCATTTTCACCCCCCAAATCCAGCCCCCCCCGGCCCCATCGGACATGCGCGGGGCGCGTTGGCAAAGCATCAACCAGAATTTTCCACACACGTGACGCTCCCACTCCCCGCACCTCGAGAAAAAGGGGAAAAAAACCGAAAAAACACCAAAAAAAAACCCCGCCCGGGGAAGGGAGCGCCGCGATCCTAAAGTAAAACCCCCCCCGAGTGGATGAGGGGAGAGAGAAATGAGGGGAAAATGGTGGAAATTGCAAATGAAACGGTGAAAGGAGGGGGGGGATAGGTGGAAAAATGGAAAAAATGTAGCAAAAACCACAATAAAAAAAAAAAAAGAGAAAGCAAAAAAAAAAAAAAAAAAAAAAAAAGGGGGAGTGATTCCGGCAAAGGGGAGGAAGGAGTTGGAACAAAGAAAAAAAAAAAAAAAAAAAAAAAAAAAAAAAAAAAAAAAAAAAAGGGGGAGTGATTCCGGCAAAGGGGAGGAAGGAGTTGGAACAAAGAAAGAGGGAGGGGAGCTCCAAAAAGGGGGGAAAAGGGGAAATCTGGGGAAGAGGCACAGCGGGAGTGAGGCGCCGCTTCCCCGCGCCGCAGAAATCCCCGGGTTGGGGTTTTTTGGGGTGTTTCCCCCCGGTTTTCTGCTGCTCCCGGCGCTGGAGCAGCCGGCCAGGCCTTTGCTCAGGAACTTGGTGCCAAGTGTGGAAATCCTCAAGTTTAGCTTTGATTTTTGGGGTGTTTTTTGGGTGTTTTTTTTTTTTTTTAAGTGAAAATTCTGTTGTTTTGGGTGCTCCCCCCCCAGCCCGGCTGCGGCCTCGCCATTGTTCTCTGCTGGGATGGGCTGAAAACGGCAAAAATCGGGAAAAAAGGATAAAAAAAACCCCCAAACCAACAAGTTTCAGCTGTGGAGGAGGGGGAGGAGTTGGCTTCCCGCTGGGAAAATGGGGAAAAAGTGTTATTTCACCTCAAAAGCAGGCAGGGAGGCCAGGCTGCTGCGGAGCCGGGGGTTAAAAATGGTTTAAAAAGGTTAAAAATGGGCAAAACTTCTGCTCTGGGGGGAGAAAGGTTAATAAAAATGGGGATTTGGGGGGTTTGGGGGAGGAAAAAAGTGAAAAAAAATGGGGATTGAGGGTGTTCTGAGAGGGAAAAGGATAAAAAATGGGGATTGGGGGAGGAAAAAAGTGAAAAAAAATGGGGATTGAGGGTGTTCTGAGAGGGAAAAGGATAAAAAATGGGGATTGGGGGAGGAAAAAAGTGAAAAAAAAATGGGGATTGGGGGTGTTGGGGGGAGGAAAAAGGGTAAAAATGGGGATTTGGGGGGGTAAAGTTGTAAAAAGTGGATTTGGGGCTGGTTTGGGGGGGGCTGTGTGTCCCACGGGGGGGATTTGAGGAAAAAGAATTCAGGAATTGGCCCAAAAGTGCAGAAAAAGCCGAAGGAAAAGGTCAGGGAAGCAGCGGAAGGTGAGGTTTGCCCATTCCTGAGGGGTTTGGGTGAAAAAAAAAGAGAGGTTAAATCCAAATTTATTCATTTCTGAGCTTTTCTGGAAAAGAGGGAGCTCTAAGATCAGTGTGCTCGTTCCTGAGCGTTTTAGAGGGGGTTAAAATCCAATTTTGCCCCATTTTGAGCATTTTTGTGAGCTCTGTCATCCAGATGTACCAATTCTTGAGCACTGTGGGGGGGAAACTCCCAAATTTACTCATTTTTTGAACAATTCTGGGGAAAAGCAGGAGTTTGAATCCCAAAATGATCCATTTCCAAGCATTTCCAGAAATATAAATTGTTCTAAAAGCTGAATTGACTCGTTCTTGGGAGCTCCAAAATTCACATTCGCCCATTTCCGAGCATTTGGGGGCAAAAAAAAGGAGGCTAAAATAGAAATTTACCGAATTCTGGGCATTTCAGGGCCAAGGAAAAGCTTCCAAACGCAAATTTAACCCATTTCTAAGCATTTGTGGGGGGAAAGGGGAAAGTAACCCCCAAATTTACTCCTTTCTAACCTTTTTGGGAAAAAGAAAGCTTCTAAAATCTGAATTTATCCACTTCTGAGCCTTTTCAAGGCGAGTGGCTTCACTTAAAGCTGATTTTTAGACCAAACTGACCCCTCTGGGCTTTGAGATGCCTTTTCCCCTCATCAGTTTGAAAAAAATCCAAGAAATTTAATTCAGAAGGGGAAAAAAAATCTTAATTTCAGACAAAAATGGTCAATTTTAGTGCCCCACTTGATGGAAAACCACCAGTAGAGGAGTCTGAACCCCCACACTGGGAATGAGGGTGTGAAAAATGGGGATTTTGGTGTGAAATGCTCTTTTTTTCCCCCATTTCCCACCCACAGGAGGCACCAAACCCCCTCCACGGGGCTGGAATTTGGGGTGAAGGCTCAGCTGAGTCGCTGGCACCCAGAGGTGGTGCTGGGTAAATAAAAGAAATCCTAATAAAAAGTGATAAAATGCAATAAAACAATAAAATCCCATGGAAGCGGCTCCCAGCACGGGTCCTGGGGACAACGGCTCCGTCCTGGAGGGGACAACGGTGACACCTGAGGCCATCTGGGGCCATGGGCACCAAAACACCTCAAAACAAATGGTTCAGGGTCCTGGAAGGGCAGAAACGGCCCCCAAACACCTCAAAATGGGGTAAAACAATTGATCAGGGTCCTGGAAGGGGAGAAACAGCCCCCAGACACCTCAAAATGGGGTAAAACAACTGATCAGGGTCCTGGAAGGGCAGAAACGGCCCCCAAACACCTCAAAATGGGGTAAAACAACTGATCGGGGTCCTGGAAGGGGAGAAACGGCCCCCAAACACCTCACAATGGGGAGCAACAGCCAACCTGGGTCCTGTCAGGTACCTACAGCACCCATGACCCTAAAATGTGGGGTGCTACAGCCACCTTGGGTCCTGTCAGGGACCTACAGCCCCCAACACCCCCCAAAACAGCCACTCAGGGTCCTGTCAGATGCACAGCAACAGCCGTCACCCCACATGATGGGGTCAGCACCCACTTTGGGTCCTGGCAGGGGACATGCAGCCCCTGTCACCTCACTGTGGGGTTCAACACCCACTTTGGGTCCTGGCAGGGGACATGCAGCCCGTCACCCCACATGATGGGGTCAGATCCCACTTTGGGTCCTGGCAGGGACACAACAGGCCCTGTCACCCCAAATGATGGGGTCAGCACCCATTTTGGGTCCTGGCAGGGACACAGCAGTCCCTGTCACCCCACATGATGGGTCAGATCCCATTTTAGGTCCTGGCAGGGCACCGCCAGCCCCCATCACGGGGTGCAACAGTCAACCTGGGTCCTGTCAGGGACCTACAGCCCCCAACACCCCCCAAAACAGCCACTCAGGGTCCTGTCAGATGCACAGCAACAGCCGTCACCCCACATGATGGGGTCAGCACCCACTTTGGGTCCTGGCAGGGGACATGCAGCCCCTGTCACCTCACTGTGGGGTTCAACACCCACTTTGGGTCCTGGCAGGGGACATGCAGCCCGTCACCCCACATGATGGGGTCAGATCCCACTTTGGGTCCTGGCAGGGACACAACAGGCCCTGTCACCCCAAATGATGGGGTCAGCACCCACTCTGGGTCCTGGCAGGGGACATCCAACCCCTGTCACCCCACATGATGGGGTCAGATCCCACTTTGGGTCCTGGCAGGGGACATCCAGCCCCCATGATGGGGTCAGCACCCATTTTGGGTCCTGTCAGGGACACAGCAGTCCCTGTCACCCCACATGATGGGGTCAGATCCCACTTTGGGTCCTGGCAGGGGACATCCAGCCCCCATGATGGGGTCAGCACCCATTTTGGGTCCTGGCAGGGACACAGCAGTCCCTGTCACCCCACATGATGGGTCAGATCCCACTTTAGGTCCTGGCAGGGCACTGCCAGCCCCCATCACGGGGTCAGCACCCACTCTGGGTCCTGGCAGGGCACCGCCAGCCCCCGCCACCCCACGGCCGGGCTCGTGCCAGCGCCGCGTCCCCTCAGGCGCGGTGTGCGGCGGGAGGTGTCCCCACACACGGGTGGCCGCACGGTGACACTCGCGGTGACACTCGCGGTTGTTTACAAACACCTCCCTCCCCTCAGAGCCCACCCCCGGTGCGGCGGGAAGCGCTGAGGGGACACTGGGGCTCAGGGGGCCCCGGTACCGGCGGGAAGCTCCAGGAGGAGCTGAGGGGACCAGGTAAGGGGCTCAGGGGGTCTCTGGTACCGGCAGGAAGTGCTGAGGGGACACTGTGGCTCAGGGGTCGCCGGTACCGGCGGGAAGCTCCAGGAGGAGCTGAGGGGACCGGGTAAAGGGGTCAGGGTGTCTCTGGTACCTGCGGGGAGTGCTGAGGGACACTGGGGCTCGGGGGGCCCCGGTACCGGCAGGAAGCGCTGAGGGGGACCGGGTAAGGGGCTCAGGGGCCGCCGGTACCGGCGGGAAGCTCCAGGAGGAGCTGAGGGGACCGGGTAAGGGGCTCAGGGGGCCCCGGTACCAGCGGGAAGCGCCTGAGGGGACAGTGGGGATCAGGGGGTCCCGGTTCTTGCAAAAAGCGCTGAGGGGACCGAGTGAGGGGGTCCTGGTACCTGCGGGAAGCACTGAGGGGACACTGGGGCTCAGGGGGTCCCGGTACCTGCGGGAAGCTCCGTGAGGGGGCACTGGGGCTCAGGGGGTCTCCAGTACCTGCGGGAAGCTCCGGGAGGAGCTGAGGGGACCGGGTAAAGGGGTCAGGGTGTCTCTGGTACCTGAGGGAAGCGCTGAGGGGACACTGGGGATCAGGGGGCCCCGGTACTGGCGGGAAGCTCCGGGAGGAGCTGAGGGGACGGGGTGAGGGGCTCAAGGGGGTCCTGGTACCGGCGGGAAGCGCTGAGGGGACACTGGGGCTCAGGGGATCTCCAGTACCGGAGGGAAGCGCTGAGGGGACCAGAGCGGGTAAGGGGCTCAGGGAGTCTCCGGTACCAGCGGGAAGCGCTGAGGGGACAGTGGGGATCAGGGGGTCCCGGTTCTTGCAAAAA